TTGTTACTCAGGGACAGACACAGAATTGTTACTGAGGGACACAGAATTGTTACTGAGGGCCACAGAACCGTTACTTAGGGCCACAGAATTGTTACTCAGGGACAGACACAGAATTGTTACTCAGGGACACAGAATTGTTACTCAGGGGGACACAGAATCGTTGAATTAAAGAGTATGTCAGACAACATGCAGAGGAGTGGCAGAGGAGGCAATGTTTTAGGAGCGAGCAGACGTGGCAGCAGAGGAAGGGGTCGAGGCAGCACTATTCGCAGCCAGAGGCCAGTGCTCCCGGTGTCATCCAGCGGTCGTGTCTCCACCGACAACCCTGCCGTCGTCGATTGGTTGTTGGCTCGGTCGTCTTCCTCTTCCCAGGTCACCTCTGACACCTACAGCCAACGGTCGGTGGGTACGTCAGACACAACCGTTAGTTGGCATGGCCCGGGACCAAGCCCACTGAAATCACGTGTCCTCTACCTGCCCCTGTCCTTTGGTGTTCCCTCACCAAGCGAAGTATCGCATGCTGTGGGCTCAGCCCCACTGTACAGTGAGGAAGAGCTAACAGAGGGCGGTCAGGAACGGGGGGAGACATCCGCCTTTTCAGCAGCCAGGCGAAGAAGTAGTGGCGAGGAGAGTGGCTCGGTAGCCGGTCTAGAGACAGGTCTGTCTCCTGACCCAGACGCAGCCGAGGGGGCTAGTAGTGAGGCGGAGACCCTACTTGATGATGAGGAGGTTGATCGCACTTGGCAGCCTCGTCGTCATCAGGCAATTTCTTCCGCATCATCAGGAGAAGAGGGTGGCAGCTTGGCAGCGAGCAAAACAGTCGTCGGTGGGTTGCCCAGGAGACAGCAGCAGGGTCGCAGCAGTGTCAGTGGAGCCAAACGCCCACGGAGTAGAGCACCAGCTCCACTGCAGCCTACCACCACGGCCAGTAGTGGTGCCGGTGTGCACGGAGGAAAGCAGTCAGCCAGTGAGGAGTATCGGGGGCAAAGTTTCCTACTCGGCGGTGTGGCAATTTTTTGTCAAGCCGCCCGAGGAAGTAAACGTAGCCGTATGTCGACTATGTGGCCAGAAAGTCAAGCGTGGCCAGGGGGGGCCCATGTTGGGACTACAGCGTTGCGGCAGCATATGCAGCGTCGCCATTTGGTGGCCTGGGGAAAACCGTGATAAAGATACGGCGGTTTCTGCCCGCCCCAGCCCCCGCTCCATCACCCGCTCCGTTACTTGCTCCGTCACCCGACGTCAATCGCCCTCCATCAGCCAGTCAAGGCTCCAACACCTCTGCTGAGGGGAGTTGTCGCTCGTTGGCATCTTCCGCTCGTTCAGATGCTCCTTCTCCTGCTACTCCTCTTCACGGATTCCGTCAGCAGTCTTTCTTGGAATCCGTTTCCAAGAGACAACAGTTTGCGAGCACGCACCCGACGGTGCAAAAGCTGAACGTCCTCCTGTCCAAGTTGCTGGTGCTGCAGTCCCTCCCTTTCCAAGTGGTGGACTCAGCACCTTTCCGAGAAATGATGGCTTGCCGCCGCCGCGGTGGAGAGTGCCAAGCCGTCATTTCTTCGCCAAAAAGGCAGTGCCAGCCCTGCATTCACATGTAGAAGAGATGGTGGGCCAGTCTTTGAGCATGTCGGTCTCTGCCAAAGTGCACGGCAGCGCCGACGTGTGGAGCTGTAACTACGGTCAGGGACAGTACATGTCATTTACGGCCCACTGGGTGAACGTGGTGCCGTCACAGCCGCACCAGCAACTTGGACAGGTCACGCCGCTTTTGCCTCCACGTTTGCACGTCCTTGGTCCGGCAAAGATGTCCGCCTCTACCACCTCTTCTTCCGCCGTGTCCTCAGCCGCCACCCCCGTGCCAAGTCCCATTACCCGACCGGCATATCACATGTGCAGGGCGCAACGGTGTCACGCTGTGCTGCACCTGGTATGCCTTGGCGAACGTAGTCACACAGGGGAGGAACTTCTCAGTGTAATGAACAGAGAAATCGACAGATGGCTGTCTCCGCGCAAACTGAAAATCGGAACCATGTTGACCGACAACGGAAAGAACATGGTGTCTGCTCTGCGTCAAGAAGGTTGTGCCATGCGCCATGCATGGCTCACGTGTTCAATCTGGTTGTCAAGCGGTTCCTAAAATCCACCATCCCACTGCAAGACATCCTTAAAATGTCACGTAAACTTTGCATGCATTTCAGCCATTCCTACACCGCAAAGCACACCCTCCTTGAGCTGCAGCGGCAGAACGGAATTGCACAGCATCGCCTGATCTGCGACGTTGCAACAAGGTGGAATTCAACCCTACACATGTTAGACCGCCTTTACGAACAGCGAAAGGCCATCACCGATTTCCTGATGTTACAAGCGGATAAAGGTACTCCCCTGTGTAACTTCGATGTCAGCCATTGGCAGCTCATGCGTGACACCTGCCGCTTGCTCAGGCCCTTTGAGGAGGCCACGCTATTCGTGAGTCGGCAGGACTATGGGATGAACGACGTCATTCCTCTGTTGCACGTCCTGGAACAAATGCTGTTAACAATGCTGGTCAGGGTGCGGTAGACGTGGCGCACAGATCTCAACAACGCCACATGACCCCTGTGGGGGCAGGACAGGAAGAAGAGGAGGAGGTAGAGGAGGACATTTGTGCTCAGGAATTATTGAGTGAAATGGGTGGTTTTTTTCCACTCAGCGGACAGGAGTGGAGGAGCAGGAGCATCTGGTAGAGGAGGAGGAGGAGGAGACAGAGGACCCAGACGCACCGTGGCAGTATGCTGTGGAGATGGAGGCAGGGAGTCCCTCGCATTCCTTGGCACAAATGGCCCATAGCATGCTCGGTTGCTTGCGTAGCGACAGCCGAATAATAACCATCAGACAGAGGGATGACTTTTGGCTGTCCACCTTGTTGGACCCCTCGCTACCGTTCAAAAATGGTGGCCTTTTTCACACCTGCTGAGAGGGAGGCCAAAATAACGTACTATAAAAACCACCTATGTAGTCAGTTGGTCTCTGCCTTTGTGCGCCAACGTCCATCCCTCAGACACTGTGGGCCCTGTGCGCTCGCGTTCCGCTGCCATGGCAGCAGGGGAGGGGGGGGGGGTGGTAGGAGCAGTGGCAGCTCCACCAGCAGCGGCTGCCTCAGTCTGCAGTCGATGATGAGTAGCTTTTTCTTCACCAGCGCAGTGAGGAAACTACTAACCAGCCAGCAGCAGCAGCAGCAGCAGCAGCATCAGGTGGACCTGGAGCAGGACCTCAAACAACAGGCTTGGGCCTACTTGGACAGCACCCTGCCAACCGAGGTAGACAATCCCCTTGACTACTGGGCAACGAAACTTGACCTTTGGCCCCAACTAGCTGAATTTGCCCTTGAAAGGCTGTCATGCCCGGCCAGTAGCGTGGCATCGGAGCGCGTGTTTAGTGCGGCAGGAGGTATTGTAACTCCGCGGAGGACACGACTGTCCACCCAAAGTGTGGAGAGACTCACGTTTGTGAAAATGAATCAGGCGTGGATTAGTCTGATTTCAAACCACCAGTTCCTGACACAACTGACTAAATCCGCCATGAATCATGCCTCAAACATGTGCCACTTTCAGGTCTCCTCACACACTGCTGGTGTGTTCCATTTTTTGTCATAGGGTGCTGGCAGATTACGGGCCTCCCATAGCTGCTGCCAGGCCCCTAATCTGCCATGGGGCCCCTATACCGCCTCCTCATGCTGCTGCCAGGTCCAGTCTCTCATGGGTCCCTGTACGGCCTCCCATTGCTGCTGTCTCCATCGCCACACTCTGCCATGTGCCACTTTCAGGTCTCCTCACACTGCTGGTGTGTTGAATTTTTTGACATAGGGTGCTGGCAGATTACGGGCCTCCCATAGCTGCTGCCAGGCCCCTAATCTGCCATGGGCCCCCTATACCGCCTCCTCATGCTGCTGCCAGGTCCAGAGTCTCTCATGGGTCCCTGTACGGCCTCCCATTGCTGCTGTCTCCATCGCCACACTCTGCCATGTGCCACTTTCAGGTCTCCTCACACACTGCTGGTGTGTTGAATTTTTTTGACATAGGGTGCTGGCAGATACGGGCCTCCCATAGCTGCTGCCAGGCCCCTAATCTGCCATGGGCCCCTATATACCGCCTCCTCATGCTGCTGCCAGGTGCCCAGAGTCTCTCATGGGTCCCTGTACGGCCTCCCATTGCTGCTGTCTCCATCGCCACACTCTGCCATGTGCCACTTTCAGGTCTCCTCACACACTGCTGGTGTGTTGAAATTTTTTGACATAGGGTGCTGGCAGATTACGGGCCTCCCATAGCTGCTGCCAGGCCCCTAATCTGCCATGGGCCCCTATATACCCGCCTCCTCATGCTGCTGCCAAGTCCAGAGTCTCTCATGGGTCCCTGTACGGCCTCCCATTGCTGCTGTCTCCATCGCCACACTCTGCCATGTGCCACTTTCAGGTCTCCTCACACTGCTGGTGTGTTGAATTTTTTGACATAGGGTGCTGGCAGATTACGGGCCTCCCATAGCTGCTGCCAGGCCCCTAATCTGCCATGGGCCCCCTATATACCGCCTCCTCATGCATGCTGCTGCCAGGTCCAGAGTCTCATGGGTCCCTGTACGGCCTCCCATTGCTGCTGTCTCCATCGCCACACTCTGCCATGTGCCACTTTCAGGTCTCCACACACACTGCTGGTGTGTTGAATTTTTTGACATAGGGTGCTGGCAGATTACGGGCCTCCATAGCTGCTGCCAGGCCCCTAATCTGCCATGGGCCCCTATATACCGCCTCCTCATGCTGCTGCTGCTGCTGCCAGTCCAGAGTCTGTCATGGGTCCCTGTACGGCCTCCCATTGCTGCTGTCTCCATCGCCACACTCTGCCATGTGCCACTTTCAGGTCTCCTCACACACACTGGTGTGTTGAATTTTTTGACATAGGGTGCTGGCAGATTACGGGCCTCCCATAGCTGCTGCCAGGCCCCTAATCTGCCATGGGCCCCTATATACCGCCTCCTCATGCTGCTGCCAGGTCCAGAGTCTCTCATGGGTCCCTGTACGGCCTCCCATTGCTGCTGTCTCCATCGCCACACTCTGCCATGTGCCACTTTCAGGTCTCCTCACACACTGCTGGTGTGTTGAATTTTTTTGACATAGGGTGCTGGCAGATTACGGGCCTCCCATAGCTGCTGCCAGGCCCCTAATCTGCCATGGGCCCCTATATACCGCCTCCTCATGCTGCTGCCAGTCCAGAGTCTCTCATCATGGGTCCCTGTACGGCCTCCCATTGCTGCTGTCTCCATCGCCACACTCTGCCATGTGCCACTTTCAGGTCTCCTCACACTGCTGGTGTGTTGAATTTTTTTGACATAGGGTGCTGGCAGATTACGGGCCTCCCCATAGCTGCTGCCAGGCCCCTAATCTGCCATGGGCCCCTATATACCCCCTCCTCATGCTGCTGCCAAGTCCAGAGTCTCTCATGGGTCCCTGTACGGCCTCCCATTGCTGCTGTCTCCATCGCCACACTCTGCCATGTGCCACTTTCAGGTCTCCTCACACACTGCTGGTGTGTTTGAATTTTTTGACATAGGGTGCTGGCAGATTACGGGCCTCCTATAGCTGCTGCCAGGCCCCTAATCTGCCATGGGCCCCTATATACCGCCTCCTCATGCTGCTGCCAAGTCCAGAGTCTCTCATGGGTCCCTGTACGGCCTCCCATTGCTGCTGTCTCCATCGCCACACTCTGCCATGTGCCACTTTCAGGTCTCCTCACACTGCTGGTGTGTTGAATTTTTTGACATAGGGTGCTGGCAGATTACGGGCCTCCCATAGCTGCTGCCAGGCCCCTAATCTGCCATGGGCCCCTATATACCGCCTCCTCATGCTGCTGCTGCCAGTCCAGAGTCTCTCATGGGTCCCTGTACGGCCTCCCATTGCTGCTGTCTCCATCGCCACACTCTGCCATGTGCCACTTTCAGGTCTCCTCACACACTGCTGGTGTGTTGAATTTTTTGACATAGGGTGCTGGCAGATTACGGGCCTCCCATAGCTGCTGCCAGGCCCTAATCTGCCATGGGCCCCTATATACCGCCTCCTCATGCTGCTGCCAAGTCCAGAGTCTGTCTCATGGGTCCCTGTACGGCCTCCCATTGCTGCTGTCTCCATCGCCACACTCTGCCATGTGCCACTTTCAGGTCTCCTCACACTGCTGGTGTGTTGAATTTTTTGACATAGGGTGCTGGCAGATTACGGGCCTCCCATAGCTGCTGCCAGGCCCCTAATCTGCCATGGGCCCCCCTATACCGCCTCCTCATGCTGCTGCCAAGGTCCAGAGTCTCTCATGGGTCCCTGTACGGCCTCCCATTGCTGCTGTCTCCATCGCCACACTCTGCCATGTGCCACTTTCAGGTCTCTCTCACACTGCTGGTGTGTTGAATTTTTTGACATAGGGTGCTGGCAGATTACGGGCCTCCCATAGCTGCTGCCAGGCCCCTAATCTGCCATGGGCCCCTATACCGACTCCTCATGCTGTGACGTTGCAACAAGGTGGAATTCAACCCTACATATGTTAGACCGCCTTTACGAACAGCAAAAGGCCATCACAGATTTCCTGATGTTAAAAGCGGATAAAGGTACTCCCTGTGTAACTTAGATGTCAGCCATTGGCAGCTCATGCGTGACACCTGCGCTTGCTCAGGCCCTTTGAGGAGGCCACGCTATTCGTGAGTCGGCAGGACTATGGGATGAACGACGTCATTCCTCTGTTGCACGTCCTGGAACAAATGCTGTTAACAATGGCTGGTCAGGGTGCGGTAGACGTGGCGCACAGATCTCAACGCCACATGACCCCTGTGGGGGCAGGACAGGAAGAAGAGGAGGAGGTAGAGGAGGACATTGGTGCTCAGGAATTATTGAGTGAAATGGGTGGTTTTTTCCACTCAGCGGACAGGAGTGGAGGAGCAGGAGCATCTGGTAGAGGAGGAGGAAGAGGAGACAGAGGACCCAGACGCACCGTGGCAGTATGCTGTGGAGATGGAGGCAGGGAGTCCCTCGCATTCCTTGGCACAAATGGCCCATAGCATGCTCGCTTGCTTGCGTAGCGACAGCCGAATAATAACCATCAGACAGAGGGATGACTTTTGGCTGTCCACCTTGTTGGACCCTCGCTACCGTTCAAAAATGGTGGCCTTTTTCACACCTGCTGAGAGGGAGGCCAAAATAACGTACTATAAAAAACCACCTATGTAGTCAGCTGGTCTCTGCCTGTCTGCGCCAACGTCCATCCTCAGACACTGTGGGCCCTGTGCGCTCGCGTTCCGCTGCCATGGCAGCAGGGGAGGGGTGGGGTGGTAGGAGCAGTGGCAGCTCCACCAGCAGCGGCTGCCTCAGTCTGCAGTCGATGATGAGTAGCTTTCTTCACCAGCGCAGTGAGGAAACTACTAACCAGCCGCAGCAGCAGCAAGCAGCAGCAGCATCAGGTGGACCTGGAGCAGGACCTCAAACAACAGGCTTAGGCCTACTTGGACACAGCACCCTGCCAACCGAGGTAGACAATCCCCTTGACTACTGGGCAACGAAACTTGACCTTTGGCCCCAACTAGCTGAATTTGCCCTTGAAAGGCTGTCATGCCCGGCCAGTAGCGTGGCATCGGAGCGCGTGTTTAGTGCGGCAGGAGGTATTGCAACTCCGCGGAGGACACGACTGTCCCACCCAAAGTGTGGAGAGACTCACGTTTGTGAAAATGAATCAGGCGTGGATTAGTCTGGATTTCAAACCACCAGTTCCTGACACAACTGACTAAATCCGCCATGAATCATGCCCCAAACATGTGCCACTTTCAGGTCTCCTCACACTGCTGGTGTGTTCCATTTTTTGTCATAGGGTGCTGGCAGATTACGGGCCTCCCATAGCTGCTGCCAGGCCCCTAATCTGCCATGGGCCCCTATACCGCCTCCTCATGCTGCTGCCAAGTCCAGAGTCTCTCATGGGTCCCTGTACGGCCTCCCATTGCTGCTGTCTCCATCGCCCACACTCTGCCATGTGCCACTTTCAGGTCTCCTCACACTGCTGGTGGGTTCCATTTTTTGTCATAGGGTGCTGGCAGATTACGGGCCTCCCATAGCTGCTGCCAGGCCCCTAATCTGCCATGGCCCCCGTACCGACTCCTCATGCTGCTGCCAGGCCCGTAATCTGTCATGGGCCCCTGTTGTTGCTTGTTGGCATATTCCGCTCGTTCAGAGATGCTCCTTCTCCTGCTACTCCTCTTCACGGATTCCGTCAGCAGTCTTTCTTGGAATCCGTTTCCAAGAGACAACAGTTTGCGAGCACGCACCCGACGGTGCAGAAGCTGAACGTCCTCCTGTCCAAGTTGCTGCTGCCAGGCTCGTAATCTGTCATGCGCCCCTGTACCGCCTCCTCATGCTGCTGCCAGGTCCAGAGTGTGTCATGGCCCCCGTACCGACTCCTCATGCTGCTGCTGCCAGGCCCGAATCTGTCATGGGCCCCTGTACCGCCTCCCCATGCTGCTGCCAGGTCCAGAGTGTGTCATGGGTCCCTGTACGGCCTCCCATTGCTGCTGCCAGGCCCGTAATCTGCCATGGGCCCCCGTACCGACTCCTCATGCTGCTGCCAGGCCTGTAATCTGTCATGGCCCCTGTACCACCTCCTCCTCATGCTGCTGCCAGGTCCAGAGTGTGTCATGGGTCCCTGTACGGCCTCCCATTGCTGCTGTCTCTATCGCCACACTCTGCCATGTGCCACTTTCAGGTCTCCTCACACTGCTGGTGGTTTCCATTTTTGTCATAGGGTGCTGTATGGCCTCCCATTGCTGCTGCCTCCACCGCCACACTGTGGCTCCACACTCTGGTTTTGGCCCCGTGACTGCCCAAATGAGTGAAGTGTGCGGTGATTCTAAGATCGACGGCACTCATCTGCATGTCATACTGACTGACAGTATTATTTCTCTTCCCCAGCAGACTCCAAGGGCATTTAAATTAAAGGTACAGTGTTCTGCACTAATATTAAGTCTCTCTGAAGCCTAGAAACACCCTTTTTTAAGTTAAATTCACAGCGAATATATTCGACTCGAATCGAAATTTTTCCACGAATTCGCCGAATCAGTCGAATCAAATTTTTGAATACTTCGCTCATCTCTAATAGATAGCATACACATTAATATTTTATATGTATAATAAAACCCACTATTGAAGCCAAAGGCTTTGTGATTCTAAATATGTGTGAGATTAGAAATGTAGACTAGACATTTCTTTTTGTCTTCTTTGTATTGCTGCATAATATGGAATGCAATTTTCCTTATGAAGCTAAAGGCATATAATAATGGTGGGTAAAAGCTTTAGTTGTAGCAGTGTTTATTTTCATTGTTTTGGTCTCTTTGCTCTCCCATTGGTCTCTTCACTTTCCCTTACCTTTTTGTATTCTTAAGGTTTTTTTTCACTGCTTAAAATAATAGATTCATTTTGACGTCTGATATCTCTAGCAACTTGTATATGAAAATAGAGATACTTTAGTTGAAATTCTCATTTTCAAAGTCATCACTTTTAGACATCTGGTTTTGCAAATGTCCCTGTACTGCATCTTTTATTTTCAGCTTCACTGACTTAATATAGTTTGTAAATATGTTTCCATTCTATGTATTTCTTGTTCTAATAGGCTGTGTAAAGTACCAAGGTTCCCTGTAGCCATTGATACTTTGCTATCTCTGTTGCTGCAATGCTGAATTGTAGTTATTGGCAATTGGCAAGGACTCATACTACTTCTGCCTGCATGGGCTTTTTTAGCTTTATTTCCTTCATACAGTTCCTAAGCATTAATTGTTGTTTACAGCTTCACTCCTGTGCTCATTGATGAGAATGAGCAGTTGTCTAATTACAATGACCTACATAGCCCATACCACAAGGCATCTTAGCAGATAACTTACATTGGATATGCTACAGTTTACAAATGAATTAATAGAACATTTTCTACTTGTAGAGGAGTTGTGATCAAAGCTCTTTTTCTAACAAACTTACACTGGGAAGAATGTCTGAAAGGAAAAACATGCTTTTGAGACAATAGAAATCCAATAATGGTGCCATTTTGTGGACAGTAAATCTTACCACAGCATTACAATCTAATTGTAGAATCTCCTTTAGATCTAATAAATACCCTGTAGTGCAAAGGCCTAATTAAGTGCCAGTTCACACTGATAGGGTGCAGGATTCCCAGCGAACTCTGTGCGTTTCCCACACTGCATCAGAATCTCAATCTGTTCTGAACCACTACAGGTGTCTATTTTAAGTTAACGACATCCATAAAGGTTCACAGAATGCATTGCAATTGGGTGAATCAGATCGCATGGGTGTGAACACCCATGGTATCCAATTCCAGTGTGAAATGAAAAGGTGCATGCACTTTTCCTGTGGGTGCAGTGCAATTTGGACCAAACAAAATGAATGGCTGCAATTGCACTTCAAAGAATCACATGTTATTTGAACAGAAATGCAGTGCGATTCCTGTCCAAATCACATGCGGTTTCCTGCATCGCAATAGTGTGAACTGGCCCTAAATGGATACAAATTGATTGGTTTATAGTAGGTAGGGGCTCATAATACATAGCCTTTGCCAACCTAACATTGATGGTACAAGGATTGTATAGTTACAGTTGTGTTCAAAATAATAGCAGTCATACATCACTAACCTGATCAATCACTGTTTTTGGTAGAAATGATATTTCTACATGACAAATAATTTACTAGCAGGTGTAGTAGAGTAATATAAATCCAACAGATCCAACAGTCATGACCTGCATGCTGCTGATTCTGTGCAATTGAATCACTAATTGAAACGGGCATGTTCAAAATAATAGCAGTGTAAAGTTCTATTAGTGAGGTCATTCATTCTTTGAAAAACAGGTGGCAATTATTGCCCTTATTTAAGGAAGGAAGGCAGCAAATGTTGGACATGCTGGTTACAGTGCATTTCTCTCTGAAATTCTGAGGAAAATGGGTCGTTACAGACATTGTTCAGAAGAACAGCGTACCTTGATTAAAAAGTTGATTGGAGAGGGGAAAACATATAAAGAAGTGCAGAAAATGATAGGCTGCTCAGCAAAAATTATCGCAAATGCTTTAAAATGACAACCAAAACCTGAAAGACGTGGAAGAAAGCGAAAAACTACCATTTGAATGGATAGAAGAATAGCCAAAATGGCAAGAACTCAGCCAACAATCAGCTCCAGGAAGATCAAAGAAGGTCTAAAGTTACCTGTGAGTACTGTTACAATTAGAAGACGCCTATGTGAAGCCAAGCTATCTGCAAGAAGCCCCCGCAAAGTCCAACTGTTGAAAAAAAAAAGACATGTGCTGAAGAGGTTACAATTTGCAAAAGAGCACATTGACTGGCCTAAAGAGAAATGGCGCAACATTTTGTGGACTAATGAAAGTAAGATTGTTCTTTTTGGGTCTAGTGGCCGAGACAGTTTGTCAGATGCCCCCCAAACACTGAATTCAAGCCACAGTACACTGTGAAGACAGTGAAGCATGGTTGCACAAGCATCATGATATGGGGATGTTTCTCATACTACAGTGTTGGGCCTATTTATCGCATACCAGGGATCATGGATCAGTTTGAATACATCAGAATACTTGAATAGGTCATGCTGCCTTATGCTGAAGAGGAAATGCCCTTGAAATGGGTGTTCCAACAAGACAACGACCCCAAACACACCAGTAAACGTGCAACATCTTGGTTCCAGACCAACAAGATTGACGTTATGGAGTGGCCAGCCCAATCCCCGGATCTTAATACAATAGAAAACCTGTGGGGTGACATCAAAAATGCAGTTTCTCAAGAAATAGAGAAGAACTGTGGAATGTAGTCCAATCATCCTGGGCTGGAATACCTGTTCACAGGTGCCAGAAGTTGGTTGACTCCATGCAACACAGATGTACAGCAGTTCTCAGAAAACAGTGCTTATACAACTAAATAATAATTAAGTGATTCAAAGGAAAGCAAAAGCTTCAAACATTTTTCAGTTTATAGTGAATGTTTGAGTTTGTAAAGAAGAATACAAACTCTGCTATTTTTTTGAACAGTCTAATATTCACTTTTCTTCATTTTTTTTAGAGGGAAAAACACAAATCTGATATATTTTTCTTCATGTTTTTATTTGGAATAGAATGTGTAGTGTTCCCAATGCATTTGTGTGTATGGAAATAAAAGCTACTAGAAGGATTTTGAGCTTTATTCACTTTTTTCAACACACTGCTATTATTTTTAACACAACTGTATATTGTAACATAGACTAGAAGGAGCCTGGGAAGCTTTTTGGTGCAAAAGGTAGGGGCACCACATCCAATTATAACACAAAATCTTAATTGTCTAAAGCAACATGGACTTTAAGGTGCCCTGGAAGGGCAACACAACATACAATACAATTAAAATATGGGGGAGTGCACACCTCTCAATACACAGTATAAAAAAAACACATAGTTATCAAAAAAGACAAAAAACACACATACATATATTAATCGGGACAGATTATGCCTATCTACTAGGAATACCATAATTTAATCTCATTATTGTTCAATATTTTGCCCAAACAATATGGGAACAAATCCTCTTAGTATATATTGTCTTCCACGTTGCTGAAATTCCCTTTATGCGTTTGTGCAAGACCAGGAGCCTGCTTCCTCATGAGAACATAGAGAGAGGTCACATACTGTGCAGTGCTCCTAATATAAAAGAGGAAAGAAAAAAATTATTCCAGACCAAACAATCATATTGTGTTTGTCTACTTAAATTGCTGTATGTGTGTTTTTTGCCTTTTTTGATACTTGTCTGTCCTTTTTATACTGTATATTAGTACATTACTGCAGTACTGTACTCCCCCGTATTTTAATTGTATTGTATGCTGTGATCCAGTTAAGGCACCTTAAAAGTTCATGTTACTTTAGACAATTCAGATTTTAATGTGTATGGTGACCCCGATAATATGAAAGACAATAGCAGCTTCAGATTGTAAGCTGCAAAATATGCATTATTAGCAGGGGCGGACTGACAACTCTTGGGGCCTCCGGGCAATAGGGGATCATGGGGCCCCTGTGTCCTTGCCCAAACTCAAAAAAGCCTATGAAAAAGGTACCAGGGGCATCTCAAGGGGCCCCCTACTGACCCTGGGCCCTCGGGCAGTGCCCGAGTTTCCAAATGGTCAGTCCACCCCTGATTATTAGTTAACTATGCAGGCTATCTATCTGCTTCTCCGCTTTCTTATCCTGTTCTCTCTTTTTTTCAGCTAACAATGTTCACTATGTTATTTGCTAAATTTGCAAAAGTTTCAATCTGACAAGCAAATTCCATAGTTAGACATGCATGGGCTGGCATAGACAATCACACACATTTTGGTGAAAATCCCTTCACTCACAGTCTCTGCCACCAAGATGGGTGCATGCGTTAGCTTGTCTGCCTCACAAACAGGGTTAATGTGTACAAATTGTGCACTGGGATTGATGTCAAGTGAGTTTTTCAGGCTTGAGCCTTAAAAAAAATGCTTAGTGGACATAATCTGCTTTTATATTTTTCTTTCTTGGAATTCTGCAATGTTAGGCTCTGGTCTTTTTTCCTCCTTTTTTGTCAATTCCATACTCTGCTAACTGTCTCTTTTTGATCCCAGCTTCTCTCCTCGCTATGCATGTTTCCAGTATGATACCTCATTGACCTGGCTACAGATCTGCTGTGTTCCACTTTCCTGGTTCTCTCTAGTTCACATTCATGCAGCATTTGCAGTCATTACACAAATTAACTCCAGAAGGTACTCAATATGCTACCCTTTTACCACCTGTCATAATATTCATGGGTGCAAGGGAGGTCCCTCTCCTCAATAGGGTACTGTACATTACAGTCATTGCTACTGTTCATATATTCATTCAAAAACACACATACCGGTACATATATTAATCGGGACAGATTATGCCTATCTACTAGGAATACCATCATTTAATCTCATTATTGTTCAATATTTTGCCCAAACAATATTGGAACAAATCCCCTTAGTATATATTGTCTTCCACGTTGCTGAAATTCCCTTTATGCGTTTGTGCAAGACCACCAATATGCTACCCTTTTACCACCTGTCATAATTTTCATGGGTGCAAGGGAGGTCCCTCTCCTCAATAGGGTACTGTACATTACAGTCATTGCTACTGTTCATATATTCATTTAAAAACACACATCAGTCCCTGCCCTCAAGGAGCTTACAGTCTAAGGTCCCTAACTCACATACTATGGGCAATATAGAGAGGAGACATTTATCCACCAGCATGCTATGAAAGAGTGGGTGGAACCCAATGCAGACATAGGGAGAACATGCAAACTCTATGCAGGTAGTGCCATGGTTGGGATTCGAACCAACAACCCTAGTGCTGCCAGGCAGAAATGCTAACCACTTAGTCAATGTGCTATCCATGTGGAAAAGTTTATGTTAAATAAGGATTTGCATTCATTTTGTTTGTAATAATTCATGTCTGTGAGCTGTAGTCAAGTAGTCAGCCACCACCACACCCACATAAAAAACAAGCTGCTGTTAGCAGATGCATGCTAACAAGGGCTTCTTCCCGAAAACTCTAGCCAGGAGATTGTGTGGATATGTAGGTGGGGACTTATCAAAATCTAGGAGTTCTGTTTATCAATAATGGGGTTCTAGATACCACTCTCCTCTCTGCGTGAATGAGTAAGGGGTACATAGTACTTCTATTCACTCACACAGAAAAAAAAAAAAAATGCAAAAAAAAAATGCACACAGGCTGCAAGCTCAGAAACGGTGTTTGGTATGACTTTTTTGGGGGACTTGTGCATTTTTTTCTTGATTTTTACATGTGGTTCCCCCCAATTTCCATACCAGGCCCAGCTGAACCACTTTCCATCTGGCCTATATCAATTTGACGGCTGGGTGGGACTTTCGTCCTTCCAGGCGGACGTCATATGATGTCCTTGTGAAACAAGCCATGCTGTGGGCAGGATCTGCCGCTGGCTGTATCCACAAGACATAGTTGATGACTGATCAGTGTACTAGCTGTCGGCACCATGAGATTGCTGTGACCACTCACTGCAGATCATATGACAATTGTAAACAGTGGCTCTGATTCATGCCATTCATTGTTACAACTGTGTTGTTAGCTGTGATTGGTCACAGTGATTACATGGTACAGACAGGGCCAATCACAGCTCATCTGTACCAGATAATTAGTTGTGGCCAATCACAGTTAATCACAACAAACAAACTGAATGAATCTATTTCATTGTTAGGGATCCGGGTGTGACCAGAAATGTGTGGACTGACACAGGGAAGTAGCAGGCTTCAGGAACACAGGCATAGTCAGGGCTGGAGAGGTGGAATGGTCAGGCAGGCCGCAAGGTACTGTCAGGCTCCGCCCAACGGGATCTCTAGTGGTCCACGGCACGGGGTTTCCCAGGACGCGGAGTCTAAGTCCCAGTCTGCCTTTTCACCAGGGCCCCTGATGGTGGGGATGGACTTGGTGCAAGACTGAAACCAGGTCGCGTTCCTGGGCACCCCCGGCGGTGGCAGAGGGGTCCCGCTGAGGGTATGTGCCCGGGGTTGACCCTCCTGTGAAGGAGATGACAGATCCCGATCCGAGCGGGATGGATGGGATGACAGATCCTGATCCGAGCGGGATGGATGGGATGACAGATCCCGATCCAAGCGGGATGGATGGGATGACAGATCCCGATCTGAGCGGGATGGATGGGCGACTGTCAGGAGTAGGCGAGGTCAGACTAGCGGGCAGCGTGGTACAGGGGGAGCAGGCAGAGAATAGTCAGGGTCAGAAGCCGGGTTCAGTAACTCACGGACAGCGTGGTACAGGGGATCAGGCAGAAGGATGGTCAGGCAAGCCAGGGGTTCAACAGGAGACGGTCAGCAGAGGTCAGGATCAAGCAGGGTCAGCAACGAGGCAGGAACACAGGATACCAGGTACAGGGGCTCATGGGAAAACATACACCAAGGCCCTGATCACAGGTCTGGCCATTCCTTAAATACACCCCCTGCAATCAGCCCCAGGTGTTGGCTGATTGCCTGGAGTGAGCTTCTGGCTGCTGAGAGCACCCGCTGGTCAGCCCTGGTACTGCAGCCCACACGGCAGGTGAGTCCCACCACCAGTGCTGAGTGCATTCCTGACATTCATTCAGTAAAATGCTGCTTATAGCAGTGAAATATACTGCTATAACTAATCATAACATGGATTAAAAAAAATCCTGATCACTTCCCCAGAGTAGTACAATGTTACTATGGTAACATCATATTGCTCTGGGCACAGTGAGTAAAAAAAAAAATCATAAAAACAAAAAAAAAGTAATAGTAAAAGTAAAAAAAAATTAGAAGATTAATACTTTTTTTCTTTTTCTTCATACTGTCACCCATCAGTGTCCCTGATCACCCCCACGCCAGTTATGTGATGACGCTGTACTGCACTGGTGCCAAAAATTGTGATTTTTTTTTTTATTCTTAATTTTCAAAATAATTATGACTAAAAATTACAACTTCAAA